CATGCACAGGGCATGTCGGACGCTAAATACAGGGCCCATCAGGAGCCACGTGCGAGGTACCTTCTCAGTAAGTGCCAGCTGCTCCTGCACCCGCAGTAGCTCATGCTTGGCCTCCACCAGGTTGTCCTGCAGGTTTTTCTGGGAGGCTGTGCTGTCGCTCAGGGATTTCTGGAAGTCTGCCTGTAGGGCTGCCACCGTGTCCTCCAGGCTGCTGATCTCCTGAGAGTGCAGGGCCCGCTGAATAGAAGGAGAAGGGAGGGGATGCTCATCAAAAGCAGCATACAGGGTCAGGGACTGGGGGGGGACAGCAGATTTAGATGCAAAATGATCTAAGATAAATAAAAGCCATGTAATACCAATAAAATCAGGTGATGTTAAACCTGAATCACTCGCCTTCTGTCACTAAGAACATTTTAACCTAAAGGGTAAAAATACAACATCCACTTAAAAATATATATTAAAAAATAATTATATTTTTGATGTCGCTACATACCAGACAGGTCCCACGGAAGCAAAATATGATAATAATAAAAAATAAGATCATATGATTCATCTCATTTTCCAGGAACATGATATATTTTACACATTTAAAGAAAGATAACACAACATGCCGTTTTCCTCAGGTGTCATTTATAATTTTTAACCATTAATGAATAACGCTGATGCAAGCAGCATATAACAGAAATCACAGCACACAGGGACACCCAGCGGCGTTGTTTAACACCACCCACACCACACATTTCAATGGGGCCCCAAGGTTTAGGGCCCCCCTGTTGACCACAAATATTAAATATTGCATAAACACATTTTTTTAGGGTTTTCTTTTCTAGGAAATGCTAAAGCAGCACGTTCTAACCACCTGATCTTCTGACTATATTGGTAGCTGTTTTAGTTTTTGAAACATTTCTAACTTTTTGGGACCCCAGAAAGTACAAATCCACCCCTGAGGACACTCAGTATGGGATGTCAGTCTGTCACGCACAAGGATGCAGAAATTGCCAGAGAAAACCCCCATGAATAGGCAAATTTTGCACATAGACGGGATCTGAATCAGAGCCACGACCTGGAGGCACGAGGCAACAAGGCAGCCCACCGAGGCACTCGGTCAAGCAACAAAACCCAAGAGCTCAGGTAAATTATTCTCAGTAAACACAGTAACTACACTGATACTGACATTGAGGGCTTCAAAGATGTTTGACTGTCCACCAGTATATGTAGTGGGTAGGAAAATTATGTATTTATTCAACTGAGCACAATTGCAAATATTTTGTCACAAGATAGAGCCTAAGAGACCCAATTTCAGACATAACTCAATTTTGATAAATAATGCAGTAACGGTATTTCGCCTTGTGGGGCAGTATAGTAGGCTTGGATATTGCTGTGGATGAGCAAACTCCCAAAACAGCCTAAATGCCCTAAACCAATAACAGTCTAGCACACTAGCAGCAACACAGCTGCTCTTTCACAAAGTTTCAGATTAATTTGATGCTTTCAGTAATACAGACAGAGTAGGAGGAACTAAAACCTGGTGATTTAACATGCTTTCAGTCTCAATTTCACGGTGTTAAAGGAGAGCAAAGGCAGCTACTGTAATAATACAACCATGTAAGAGTACGTAGAGATATATACAGACGTATGTGCAGACTTACATACAGCTACAATGACCAAAACAAAGGCAACACTTGTGTAAAGGGGAAACACAAAGTATATCATGAAGTATATCGTTCATTCATGAATTTCATGAATAAAAAGACTGATATATAGTTGGACAAAGTTTGGCAGGTGCATTAGGGATAAGGACCACTCAGCTTGCAGGTTTATCACGAGAAATCGGACCTGTGGAAGTCCTCCTTATGGAGGGGCACCTGGGCAAATGCTGCACTTCATCACATGGCCGACTAGCCACCTGATCCCAGCTCAACACCTATGAGAGACTCAGGACTGACTTCCACCTTTAACAAGACACTAGGTAATGGAATTTCCTGGGCAGGAATGCTGCTGTCTCCCTCTGGTCTGTGATGCTGACTCCTGGTGTCCTAACCAGACTGTACATTGGTGCTTCAACTGTGGAAAAATCTGCAGCGGTAGTTACCTGTATACGTACATGTACACATAGTGATGTAGAATCGTAACACCCCTACTATGTCTTCCCAGAAGCCCCCTTGTCTCAGCCATACCTGTTGCTCACCCTGAATCTTCTGCAGCTCTTTTAAAGTCTTCTCCACCTTGGACTTCTCTTCTAAGGCACTCATAGCCTGGAAAATATACCAACCCATTAGTCTCATTACTGTTCCTACTCAGAAGACAAATAAGAAAGCTTATTATAAGCATTAATTATTCTGTAGTTAATCCATCCATTCATCCATCCATCCATAACAGCTTATGCTGCCCAGGCTGAAAACAGACCTTGGACGGCATGCCAATCAAACATTGGGCACTTATTCAAACACTACAGGCTACTGAAAGACACAGGTTATGCTAACTGCATGTCTTTGGACTGCAGAAGGACACCAGTGCAACAAAGGAAGAACATGAGATTCAAACCCTAAAGGGGCTTTGACATGATGGCCAAGTGGCAAGTCGTCTGTCACGTAAACAGAAGACCATGGATTCTCATCCCATTGATGCCGTTGATGCACATCTCTAAGTGTGTGGAGTTTAAGTCAAGGGAGGTGATGCTACAATTATACAATTCCTTGGTAAGACCCCACCTAGAATATTGTGTGCAGGTTTGGTCATCATACCTTAAGAAGGACATTGCTGCCTTGAAAAGGGTGCAACATAGGGCTACAAGAATGATTCCTGGTCTTAGAGGAATGTCTTATAAGGAGAGGTTAGCTGAGTTGAATCTGTTTAACCTCAGGCAAAGGAGACTAAGGGGGACATGATCCAGGTATATAAGATTCTAACGGGTCTGGATGCTGTTCAGCCAAATGGCTACTTCAACATTAGTTTAAATACTAGAACTTGCGGAAATTAATTTGAGAAAGCACTTCTTTTCCTGTTAGTGTAGTACAAGCTAAAACCCTGGGTTCCTTTAAATCAGAGCTAAATAAGATTTTAAAAAGCTTGATGGGCCGAATGGCCTCCTTTCATTTGTAAATGTCTAATGTTCTTATTTTCAACACAGGAGGTGTAAGCACAATGAACTGATTCAGCATGCTGCTTAAATACCAAGTAACATGATAAAGTCTCAGAATTGAGTTATTCCTCACACCTGTGATTCGACTGCACGGAGTCTGCTTTTCAGTTTGTCATTCTCCTCCTGCAATCTGGAGATCTCCTGAAATGGCAGAATCAGGATCATGTTAGGACAGTAAATTATGGCGCTGACATATTTATGTTTGCGCAATCCTCGGTTCTGTGATTTCAGTGCAATTTGAGGGATTTCATTTTAGCGTTCTCGCAAGATGGAATTTATGTTTACGTGGTCACACAGCTTCGCGGTGCCGTCCCAGTGATGCTTTAACCAATCCGTGGGCACTTCTGCTTTCGCCTGCTTGGTGCCAGCCACAAAGGTGCGAGATTCTGGGCTGCCACCACCTGCAAATCACACGGGGCACACGGATGCACCGTGCTAGCACACAAACCCAGTACTGGAGACACTTATTAAAAGTGCCATGTTTGAATCCTTTTCCATAGGCTACAGTGACAAGGATTCAAATAGATTATTGAATGATTAATTATAAAGACTCACTTATTTTAGGTTTGTAGCAGCTCCAAGCAGACAAATATATCGATTCAAAATACGTATTTAATTAGAAGAGAATTGATTATTTCTAAGAAAAACTACATTCTTGATCATTTTCCATTGTGTTACAGAGTTGCCATATGGTAATGATTCCCAAGTTACCCACCCATCCATCTGTACATACATACATCATCTACCCTATTGCCCTTTTCAGAGTCAGGGGGGTCCAGAGCCTATCCTGGAAACTATAAGCACAAAGAAGGGAATAACCCAGGATGGGGTGCCAGCCCATTCCAAATTACCACCCCCAATGTGTGACTTTTAAAAAAAAAAAATTAAAAAATCTTTTTATATGTATCATTATGTTATTTAATGTAATTAAGACTAATGGGAACAAGTATTCCGTGATTAGAACAAAATGCATAACATAGAGCGTTAAGTTTACACCAGAAACAAACATATGCAGTATTTTTTTTATTTTAATGCACAAATGGTTTACACTATCTAAAATGGATAAAGTTAAATCTGAAGAACATCTAGCCGATACTGATCGAACTCACTGTATTTTACAATATAAACATCCATGTATCCATTTATCTCCCAACTACCGATTGTATTCAGTCACAGGGAGCCTGTCTCCTGCAGCACAGGCTACAAGGCACGGCTGTCCCTGGGCAATGGATGACAATGCGTATCAGTCCATAGCAGGGTTGGAGAAAGAAAGAAAGAAAAAAAAAATAAAACTTAAGACTCAAATTAAAGTTTATGCATATTTATGTTTTAATAATAAATAATAGAATTTCATTTAGCCTGCTGATGGGCGCATCGTGTGGCTTAGTGGCTTACGATGCTGCACCTGGTTTAAATCCCAGGGTCAGCAGAATAATTCCATTGTTGGGCCCCTTACTCCAAAAAAAAATGTACATCACTTTCAATAAAGGCATCTGATACATAAAAACAGTCGTCTCTTGGTATCTATGGGGGATTTGGTCCAGAAAATCCACTGATGCTCGTGTTCCTTGTATAAAATTACATACTACTTGTATATAACTTATGCACACCCTCCAAAATGCTTTAATCATCTCCAGATTACTAAATGCTATGGAATTAGTTACTATTCGGTTTTGTTGGGGGAATACTGACAAAAAAAAGTCTGTACACGTTATGTACATGTATAGACACAGACTACAGCAGGGTATGCCTTCATTCACATGGATCCAGGGCAGTGCTTGGCATGCGGAAAATTCAAGCTTTGCTTTTTGCTTTCTGTAATTTTAACATTTTTTGAATATTTTAGATCTGAGGTTGGTTGGATCCGCGGATACAGAATCTACAGATGTGGAGGGCCGACTGTAAAATGCAAAGGCTATTTTATTTTATTTTTATTTTAACAGCACTGTAAGGATTATCTCTATTACACTTATATTTGTACATAGTCACATGATAAAAGTCTTAGGAAATGTTTAAAGCTATTTATCTGGATGGTAAGTGCATATTTGCTCAGAACAAGAAAACGCTATTTAACGTTCAAACAAATGCAGATTAAGAATGACACAAGTAGAAAGAATGTCTTCTGTTCTCCAAAAAAGTTACCGATATCTTGTTGGAAGGCTAGATGATCACCTCTTCAGTTAGCAGAACTCTCCTGAGAGGCACCCCAGTCATTTCATGTATATTTTCATTTCACAACCAGTACACTTTATTTATTTATTTATTAATTTAGTTAAATAAAAGCAAATGAGGTACTGATTAGCCGTACGAGGTACCAGTGGTCAGGTGAAATGTACATAGGTACAGTGGACAGCGGTTGCAAATACTGGCGTGACTTTAACAGAGCTTCTGAAATGGCTAAGCTGACACACTTTGACAGACCTCATATAGTTTTACACCAATTTGAAAATCAGTTGAACACCATTTTCTTTGACTGCCTAAGAATTGTGCCTAAGAACATAAGGCTCTTTGTGGTTTTTGCAATTTTGCATGTTTAAAACCTATTTAAATGTTTAAAGATCAAGTCTCAAAACCTGATATCAAAAACAAGTCTCAAAACCTGATATCAAACATCTATGGACGTGAAAATGACTATTTGTAGCAGCTGCATGCCTACAATGAACAAATGAACGAATGCAGCAGTACGATCAGGTGTTTCTCGTGACCGATGGGTAGAGAAGCATGTCGGAATTTTCGAAAACTTTACAATGCGGTATACAGACAAAAACCTTCCTCTGAAAAGGGGGGGGGGTCCTCTCACCTTGTTTAGCAGCTCAGACACCCCTGCCTCATTCAGGGGGGCCAGCTTGGGTTTACTGGTCTCCTGGTTAGCCTGGTTGGGAAAGTTCAATAAAGCTTGAGGACAATAAAAAACAAAAAATAAGGCAGAGTCCTAAGCTGAAAGGAAGTCTGAACAAAGGCAGTTACACTGAAACTTACACAGAAAGCCCGTGGCTGAGGTGAAGCGCTTAACTTTTGGCACCTGCCATTGCAAGATTAAAGTGTGAAAACGTTGAAAAATAACCACCACTGTGCTTAGAAACTGCACTTTATTCACGCTCTAGGACTTTCCATGCCTGCACAGTTACGCCAGCATGTCACAGGTCGTGTTCATCCTAAAACATCCAAATTTGAACCTCAAATTTCAATGTGGTCTTAAAAGACAGGACAAATAAATTCAACTTGCCAAGGAGGGGGCAGCAAGCCATGTAGGAACGTGAGAAAAAAAAACACGTAATCTGAGAGGTTCTGGTAGGTGGTTAAAACATACAATAATAACAACAAATCAGGGGTGGTGTACGGTTTAGTGGGTTAGGCCTCGTGCCTGTGATCGTGCTTTGAATCCCATCCTCAGTAAAAAGTCACATCTGTTGGGCCCTTTAGCAAGGCCCTAAACCCCTGAGAAATACTCCAGGATTAATGTCTGACCCAGTACTCAGGCCCTAGGCTTTGGTCTCAACTATATGTATGTGTGTGTGTCTCTCTCAAAGTAGAGCATGATGGGATATGTGAAAAGAGGCACCCTGTGCGAATGGCAAATAAAGCATAATTTCTTTTACAGTTAAAAAAAAACTAAAATAACTTGGATTGAGCTTCAAATCCAAAGTGAGCAATATCTGCAATGTTCACTGAAGCATGTCATGAAAGTCGCTGGACTTGCGTCCGCTGCTCAGTCACGTAAAACTGGCACGTACTTGAAAACATTCTAAATGAACTGGGCTAATAATACGAACTACTCTGTATTGCACGCAAACATGGCGATGTGCCGGAAGACACTCCGAGTGCCACCGTACACCCCGCACAGAGGCTCCCTGTTGGTTACTTACCTTTCTGCCGCTAGACTTAAACTCCGCCTTCTCAAACTCGGCCACTTGCTCCAGCAGCTCCCTGAACAGAAAGAGTAAGAATGGAGGGAGGTCAGGATGGCATAAAGAGGGGCTCTGGGGTATATGGGATTTCTCAGGGCAAGGGTTGAGTAATATAATCCAATTAATAACTCAGATTACAATAACATCCAGCCAAAAAACTGCAGATCCTACATAATCAACAAAATAAGACCCTAACCATGATTAGATAAGAAAAGATGCATTAAAAAACTACAAGGACCACCAACACCATGAAAAGCAAGGGTATCGGGAAGCCACCAGAGAGCAGCCAGCAGCAGCAATGTCAAAAGCATCTTAAGAAGATCTGTTTTAGTAGCAATGACAAACAGCTAGATGGTTACATCCATGTGACAGGCCACATGTTGCCCATTAACTTAAAACACGGCAGCTTCAGTAACAACTTGTCGCATTTGGCTATTATCGACAAATGGACCGTATCAGCTGAATGCAAATCCTGTAAGTATCTGCAATCCACCCACTGTGGTGATCTTTCTTAATCAGTCTCTGAAGATACCACCTGCCCAGTCACTGTGGTAAGTTACTGACAGCATCAACCGATAAGCCACTAGGGTGATCTTACGAAACCACTATCCGACGGTATCTACTATCCAGGCCATTGAGATAATCTTACTAATCCCGTCTCCGACGGTGTCAAGCACCCAGCCACTGTGGTAATCTTACAAAAGCTATTTAGAATGGAGTCTGCTGTCCAGCCACTCTGGTAATCTATCTAAACCAGCCTCCGGCAGTTTCTGTCACAATCTTACTAAACCAGACTCATTCTCTTGCTGTATGACCATCATTGACACGGTGCATCTTACTGAGGTCCATGAGCCTGGCTCCGATTCACTGGATCAGATGGAGCAAAACCAAGCCACCTTTTCTGATAAGTCCAGTATTGCTTGAAGAGTAAGACAGACCAGAAAGCTTGAAGTTTACATTAAATTTATTCATTTATTTAATACTTGCAGTACAAGGAAGGGTTACAATTTGTGTGCACTCCCTGGGATTCCAACACATGACATTTGCGCTCTATGCTCTATTTGTTAAGCTAAAAGAGCTGTTTCTGCAGTATGCACAATGTTTGAATCATAACTATTAAGCAGAGTCCTTTTCCCTCTGAAAAGCCGACAGATCGACAGGGAATCTTCTTAAACTGATGGTTTTCCCCAAGTAAATCAAAGAAGATGGACAACAGTCCCTCAAAAACAACAAAAATAAGGGCTAGTCAATGCCATTCAATGACTGCTAGGGAAACTGCAGCAATGTAGTTGTGAGGCACTGACAATGTGAAAAAGCAGAGAAAACAGACACTTCCTTCCCACCTGGAGGCAGTTTAACATTCGGTGACCTTCATCCCACGTTATGCTTGCGTGTGGTTTGAGGAGGCGGCTGCACACCCAGATGCACAAACAGAAAAACACAACAGCACGCGCCAGCACACGCCCACGCCGAGACGCCCTGCTCCACGTGCCCCTTCGCCTGTCCAGGACCAAAGCCCATGCCTTCTACTTGCAAGTTTTTTGTGAAGTGCATTACCAAGAGCATGCACGTCAGAAACAAGAGCAGCTATGACAGTGAGGAGAGGGGGGACGGCCATGCAGGTGAATCGTTTCTGTTACATCGTCTTTGCTTGCAGACGTCAAGGGAATATGATACCTCTGACATAGATGGTTTTGCAAAAAACACCACACACGCACAGACACACACATATATAATATTCAGATACATAATTCAGAAATAAGTCTAATTACACAAAAATTTTAAAAAATTAAAATCTAGTAAAACCTAGCAAAAAGCTAGTAAAAGGCTGTTGTCTGGCTGTCTCCTGCATGATATGCTTATATGAATAAGGAGTTTGCTGACAGCAGGGTGCTCAGAATATACTCTCTGCCTGGTGTTGAGTGCATGCTACTACTGGAATTAAAACCAAATTGATAATTCAGATTACAATAAAATCCGGCCAAAAAACTGCATGTGCTGATTGAGCCTTGCACAATCAACAAAATAAAACTGACTAATTAGATCAGTAAAGCTGTGTAAAAAGTACAAACCACCACTGATATTGAAGATGGAAGACATTTAAAAAGGGAACATCATTTGTTCTTCAGCATATACAGTCAGGTCCATAAATATCGACACAACTCTAATCTTTTTGGCTCTATACACCACCACAATGGATTCGAAATGAAACGAACAAGATGTGCTTTAACTGCAGACTATAGAGGCCTGGCAGAGCATCACCAGGGATGTAACCCAGCGTCTGGTGATGTTTATGCATTCCAGACTTCAGGCTGTAATTCACTGCAAAGGATTTGCAACCAAGTATTAAAAAGTGAAAGATTGATTTATGATTGTTAATTTGTCCCATTACTTTTGGTCCCTTAAAAAGTGGGAGGCTCATATACAAACTGTTGTAATTCCTACACTGTTCACCTGATTTATATGTAAATATCCTCAAAGTAAAGCTGAAATTCTGCAGTTAAAGCACATCTTGTTCATTTCATTTCATATCCATTGTGGTGGTGTACAGAGCCAAAAAGATTAGAGTAGTGTCGATGTCCCAATATTTATGGACCTGACTGTAAACAAGTTCTTGCATCCATTAATGGTCTGTAGAGTCTGTAGAGTTCATTGAACACAGAAAGCTAGAACATTCATAAAAGCCTGATTGTTCATTTCATGTGTTTATCTGGGTAAACAAGTATAATTTATTCATGAAATAATGTATTTCCAGAATTACCACAAAATACACAATTATTATCCATCCATCTTCCAAGCTGATTCTGGTCACCAGAGGCAAGGGGCTATTTCTGGATTTTTTTTGGCTTTGATTGTACTTTGAAAAAGTATAAACATGCACCATTTAAGTGGCTATTGAAAATGGATGGAAAATATCCAGAATAGGTCCCACTAATCATGCTAATAATGCTTTCAGATGTCAGGCATCATATGGGCTTATACACATATAACATTATAGACATTGCAAAATAGCCCCGTTGTGCTTCGATTACAACACTGCAGACTGTACTCCTTTCAACCAGCTTCCAGATACAGCCACCTTGAATGCTTCTCCAAGAGTCCTGAAGGAGGTTTCACAAGTTCAGCGGCCTGTACTACGAAGCGGGGTTACTGGCTTTTCGGGGTAACTTTGCAAGTAACTTGATGACGTGTGGTGTAACTTCACGATTAACCCGTACTACAAAAAGGTGGATAGGTTTTACTCAAGGCTTGCTGCCATGGCAATTTACGTCATAAACCTGCTCCGAGCAGTTTTTGTTCTTGGTTAAGTCGAGGTTTCTGCGTAAACCAGCCCTATATGAGCACCGCCCCTCCAACTACAATTTCTCCGAAGACAGTGCCGGCGTACCTGGATGATCCGTACGACATTAGCACGTGAATTGTGAGGGGTTCTCTCTGTCAATATGTATGAAATGGAGCAATGGCATATAATATGCATACAATGTATTAATTAATAACTGTTAGAAAGTTATTCTGATAACCCAAGGGGTGTGCATTGTTCCCTGTTGTCCACTGATCAAAGCACTCTCCACTAGATGTGCCTGTCTTGTCTAGTTTTTAAAGTTATTAACCCATTCATGTATTGTCCCATTGCACATTATACGGATACATTCGAACATTCAAAAATTAATTTAAATTCGTAGGTAAAGCATTCTGGGAAACAAAGGGGTGTGCAACAGTCGCCATGAGCCCAAAATGCTAAACCACCATGTCATTTCAGCTGACAGGACCTCGATTTGGCACAAATCACGAAATGGTTTGAAGCGCAAAAATAATCAGTGCATCGATGTCTGTGTACTGGACATCATAATTCTGTCATTAAAAACACACCACCTTACTTCCATTAAATGTTATTAAAGCCAGAAAACTGGATATGGAATATGAGGCTAACTTAACCGTGGTGACAGGTTCCTAGTCGTTTTCTCAGTACACATATGCTTCTGCTTTGTCCTGTTGTAAATCATTTGTTTGTTAAACAATGGCTCACCTTCTATGAAGTGTAATATGAACAGACACCTTTTTCTTATTAGCTGTAAAACATAGAAACACGCTATTAAGTGGAGGCTAGACACAACAAATCTTTCATAATGAGAAATATAAATACGTACATAGCCCTACCACTTGACATGATGTTTTTATATTTCATCATGACTTGCTGCCACGTACGCTTTCCACTACTATTGCATTTGAAATCGGATCAGTTACGTTATCGTTGACATTAGGTTTACATTATGAGTAACATTGCAGTAATGGAACTTTAGGGAGCATTACATTACTTAACAGGAAATAATAAGTGACTTCAGAATTGTGTCGCATCTGTGAGCCTCTGTATTTATTAACAGTATTTCAATTCTTTTCAGAAAAAACTTCATAGTCTAATACTCGGTCGTGAGATATTTTATACCACGTTTTATGACCATGAAAATGTACTTATGCATTTACTCGGTCGGCAATACGATGCCAACAAGCCTGCCTGCTTTTGTTGGCTGCAGTGGTATTGGACTTTCTTTACAGCGTTGATTTAAACTTCTCATAACCCTGCATAATTAGCATGCAGTCCTCCTCTGTGAAATATGGAGATCGGGCTATGAGTCAAACGGTGACTTGTGCTGCCGAACGTGCTCCATTGATGTGAATGCGCACAAACTCCAATGCAGTTAACACCGACGTAACAAATCAACTTCTTAACTGGCGTTGTAGTACTGATTAGCACCATTTGAGACAACCTGATTTTTTCAACCCTGCGTTCGCAAATTAACTCCGGGTTAAATCTGATTTGGTTAAACCCCCTTCGTAGTACAGGCCACTGGGCACAAGTTGGCTACCTTGATCCTACTCTTTCATTCAACTCATCCCAAACCAGCTCTGAAGGATTTAGCTCAGGGGACTGCGGTGGCCAAGTCATCTGTCGCAGCATTCCATCTCTTTCCTTGTTCACAAGATAATACTTACTACATGACCTCAAGGTGTACTTAGGCTCATTATCTTGTTGAAAAACAAATAATTTTCAGTAGGTGTGTACAGAATTTTGACTGGTACTATATGTTTATGTGCATGCTTGCTAAATAGATACAAGTAAAAAAGAAAAATAATAATAATTGTGTGAAAATCACAAGCAGAAATGTGTGACACGCTAAGAGTGTTACACACTAAGAGGGTGAGTGCATGAGTTCCATACGTGTGGTTCTGACATGGCACGCTAAGAGTGTTACACACTAAGAGGGTGAGTGCATGAGTTCCATACGTGTGGTTCTGACATGGCACGCTTCAAATGCATGTGTCTCCTGCAAGATTAAACTTGACTGGGCAGTGCTTCATTCTTTACCCAGATAATGACCCAAAACACACGCCACAACTGTGCAAGAACTATCGGGCAAAGAATGAAATCTATCTATTTTCCGCAAAAGTCTTATGGGAAAAATGAAATTGCATGTAGGCATTAGTCTGTGATTAGCAAGATCATCTCTGGCTGTGTTTGTGAGAGGTTTGCATATTCATGTTGACTTCCTCCAAGCATTCTGGTTTGCTCCCACAGCCTAAGAAAGATTAAGTAAACTGGTGACTGACCATAGCAAATGCATATGTATGTGTGTGTGCCCTGTTATGCACTGGCATCCTGTCCAGGGTGACCCCAGCCTCTTGCTCTGTGCATCCTAATATATGTTCCATGGAACCCTGCACTGGATAAGTGGGTACCACAGATGACTGGAGGGATTAGTATAATATTTCGCATGACCAAAGAGATCCAATCCCAAGAGTTAGACTAAGCTTCACTGGAACCAAAAATCTGGAAATGATATAAATGGGACAAATATGTTTAAAGCTGAATAAATATCACAATGAGATAATACTTTTTGATTTTAAAAGTAGCATAAAGTTTTAGTATCATCATGGTGGTGTTGGTTTCCTTTGCACTTAAAGCAAGAGATTGAAATTCGGAATGACTTTGTACTGTAATAACCATCCATCCATCACAGGAAGCCAGTCCATTGAAGGGTACAAACATAATACTCTATGAACTACTTAGAGACAGCAATTCCATGCAAAGGTCCATTTGATGTCACATCTATAACACTGATAAAATGCTACTTATTTCTAACATGTAAATTAATAGATGAATTTTCAGCATTTGTTTATATTCAAACCAAGAGTTTACATGTAAGGATATGCAAATTGACCCATTGATACTAAGTTTGTCCATGCTGAGAGTCACTTTGTTTGGCAATCTAGATGCCACATCCATAATGTTGGAATTGCTCTTATTTGCTAATTGAATGATACTTGTGTGTACCAGTAATATTCCGACCTTATTTCATCTAGATAAAAAACAATAAAACGGCTCAATTTGCCTGACATTCCCCTCGTTTCTGTCTGCGACTATAGGAACCCTGAGAAGCTGAAACATGCTCATACCGTGACCACCAACCAGAACGCAGCTGTGCGGATTCACGTCACACGAGCAGCTCTCTTCCGTTTCTGTCTGCTACTCGTGCAGAGAGGTCGCAGGCACGAAAAGGAGCACCGAGATGAGAGAAGAAAAAAAACTCCCTCTCTCTAAAAAATGTGAATTCTGTGTTAACAGCAGGCTGTTCTCTTGAGAACGCTGTGGTCTGCCTCTCACCTGGCAGATGAACCTGCAGCCCTCAATCAACATCAGAAGAGGAAGTGGCACTCATGGGAACTGTAACGATCTGCCTGCCGAAGTGGATGGTAACGTCTGGGGCCGCCGCTAACCTGGGTATGAACTCTACAATCACGTGACCGTTCCAAACAACTTAAGGTACTGAAGTCTTTAAAGGCTAATGACATCTAATGACATCACTTACACAAAATACTTTCACTTCTCCATGATCCAAACTACAGACTCCTGCAATTTATGCTACAAAACCAGATAGTGTATCCGAAATCACATTCTTGGCTGCTATGTAGTAGATACAGCATGCGGAAAATAGTACGCGACATGAGCTGTACGTCCATATCATCAGCATAGATGAGACAGTAAGTGAGCGGTACCTGGTTGGCATACCAAACTTTGGGGAAATTACGAAGTGTGCAACCGATGGATGCTATGTTACCCCACGAAGCCATTGGAGCAGTAGCCAGAGACAAAAAAAACGCCGCAGATGTGCAGATATTTTTGTCAAGATGGAGGAGCAAGATCCATCTCTGTACAAATTTAAAGAGAAAACAAGACCCGGTAACCGAAAATACATATTCAAGTCAACTTATTTGTTGAGTGTTTTTAAGAGCTTTTAACTTTCATGGGGGTCATGCTACATTATTGCTAATCATCCAGGTCAGGTCATTTGGAAGCTGGCATCCGCAGTATGTCCAAGTGCATGCATACTGTTCTCATGGATACACACAGTACATACTACAGTAGTAGTTGAGTAGTAGGCTTCTAAATAAATTCAGTATGTACTGTTTAAGTATGAGATTTCGGACGCACCCAGAGTGTCCCTTTGAGACGGAGCTCATCCCAACAAGACAGAACAGCCTAGACAAAATGCCAGTTTATGACTGTGCACATGCTTCCAAGAGAGGCACTATGTCTCAGAAAGACAACACAATAGCTGGAGGAAAGCCCATATATGGAGTATGTTGGGAAGAAATACACATAGAACCTCAACACTAATCAAATACATGGTCAACCTGGATGGGTTGCCAGTCCACCAGATAACGGAGTGACATCAGTATAGCTAATCCAGAGGCTGGCAAACATTTTATACTGTGCACTACCTTAGAAAATAGCAGACTCTCTGCCTATTACCATTATGACCTATGTCATAAAAGGAATTACCTCTGTCTACCACTAGAGGGCGCTCATGTACCATTGTTTGAGAACCACTGACCTAACCCATGTCTTTGGATGGGAGGAAACCAAATACCTGAAGTGATCACATTACTCCAACAAGAGAGCCAGGCCAGGAGTCAACCCTGCAGCTATGGAGGTGTGAGTACTACCCACCAAGCCATCTCTGCACCCTTGCATACCTGTTCTCCAGCTCTGAGATGTCCGTCTGGAGCCTGAGGTAGAACTTCTCTGCCTGCGAGAAGAGCTGACGCAGGAGGAGCACGTTGGTGTGGGCCGTGTTGATGAGCTCCGTCTCCACCTCCCCCCGCACCACCACCCGCAGCCCCTCCAGCATTTCCGTCACCTCGTCTGCCGTGAACGTCTCCTCCACCAGCCTGTCAGGAGAAACACAGGGCAGCAGACACTCAGTGCGGACCCAGTGAGCCCAGTTCTCAAACTCTGGTCCCAATACTGATTACTGCCAATAAACATGACAAAAATAACTAACTCCAGTGCTCATCTTTACAAATGACTTTTTTGTTTTTACATATGTACTTAATGGTTTCTATGCTGTACAGCACTTCAAGGTTCAAGGTGTGCTGCTTAAAAAATGCTTTACAAATAAAATTGACTCCGACTAATTGATATTTTGGTTGTCTTATCATTATTTATATGTCCACATGTTGTTTATTTTTTGCACATTATTATTTGTACGTCTATATTCATTTTTAATCTATTTACTGTCTTTTGCATTTCTGCCATGATTGTATGTATAACTTTATAACTCATGCCACTACCTGCACCAAAAGAAATTCTAAATAAAAAATCAATATCCACCACATTCTCATCTCAGCTGACAAAGAAAAAACAATTGTAATTGATTGATTATAGGTGAAGTTCAAGGGATAGTATGTAAAGATAATGGATCATATTACTTTTATGAGCCAAGATATTCTGCTCTAATGATGCCAAGGTTAATGCAGAAATACCTGATGAACCATCAGTCTTAGGAAGGCTCTATTTAATAGTACAAAAATGCAAAGCTACTTTCAGGTACAAAAGGTGAGCTCACCTGCTCTCTTTGAGGTCCTGAAAGCAAGAGTCTATTGTCTTGAGCCTCAATGCCCTCTTAGAGCGTGCAAATCTCATGTAGTTGATGACTTCATTCTGGTGATGCTCATTAAAGCCAAACTCAGCCTGCATGGCAGAAAAAAACATTATCTGTCAACTTAATATTATTGGTTTTGAGTAGACAGACTATGTTCGTCAGTGACATGTAGCTAAATAATCAACAAAAAATGTCCCCACATTACCTCTCAAGTTAGGCTCTAGGCTACAGCGCCCTTCACTAGGTAATGCTGCAAACTACACCACACAAATTCATTTATTTACTTACCAACGTAGCAAAATACAGCAGAATTTATGTTAAACGATTATTCAAATTCATATGAAAACCATGCACATATTACATGTAATATTTGAATAACATAAACACACGTCTTCAAACTAAAGAATTTATGTGTGGATTTTCCCCGTTGACATTGTACAGCTACGAATAAAAACATAATGAATACAATGCGCTGGTGGGGAAGCCGGAAACAGCATGCAACAGATAAGTGAGAAGGCCTGGGTAGGTGTACATGCATGTCGTATAAGAGCGTTTGTTGTGCCGGCTCCAGATTGAAGGTTTATTAATGCGATTACTGAGCGCCCTCTGCTGCATATCCGTCTTTATCTGCAGCGTTTCTGTACACCACGTAACGTCTTTCGGTTTTAAATATGCATGTATTTACGTTATGGCCTGCATGTTTGTTTAGCCCACCTCAGCCAAAGTTTTTGCCCACCACAGCTAAACTAACGGCTAAGCAATAATGCGGGCAGGCGCTCAGCTCAGGTACGGTTCCACTTTCCTAAATGGTGTCCGCCCACAATGGCGAATCGTTTCTTGCTGGATATACCTCTAATAGACAACTGGATGGGTACTTTTTGTAAGCTTCTCCCCGCCTTAATTCTCACAGCAGCTCAGAGCGATCTAACGGTGCCCAGATAGCTAGCCAGGCTAGCTACTCACCATTTCTTGATCGCTACTATATAAGATGCAGTGAAATAGATAGTTTCTTACGGCACATTAACTAACTATCGCCGTCGGAGTAGTTGGGCCGAGCCACGATTCCAGGCACAAGCAAAACACAGTTGAAACGATTCAAACAACTAGTTTAATTCCGAAGCGATAGGTGCGCTGGAGCTTGTTTTCTCGAGGTGCTTAGAGACTAAGCTACGTCGTTGCGTTGGCAACCGGCTTCCGTGCAGCTGGTACTCCTGTGTGCGTAGCGGTCTACGTACGCAAAGGCTAAAGGCATATTTAAAGGCGTACGTACCATGCATTCCAGGAAGACCGGCTGAAGGTCCAAGACTGAAGTCATTTGTCGTCATATATACGTCATGAAATTCTTAGTTTTAACTACACCAGATAAGGTAGGTAAGCATATGAATCATACATATCTACCAAAGATAAGAAATAAAAAATAAAAGTATCTAACACTGTAAACTTTACCCCTATATAGCAAAAATATATTTTAAAATATGGACATTTCAATATATTTTTGTCAAGTGTCTGCTCCAGTAAATTAAAAATATAATGCAAAACGTATTTTTAAAAATATATTGTAATATATTGAATAGTACACTATTATTGAATTCCCACTTGTATATTGTAAAATATCAATCACATATCAATATAGATAATTCACATTTATATGGGAACATGTATGCTCATTCATGCGCAATGCATGAACACAATTAAAAGGAATATATTATCATATAGCTACTATATATTACCACAGAGTAATGACAATTGATCAAGAAAAATCTTTAATTCTGTTTTGAAACATACTGAATTTTCCATTTATTTATTTGGTTATAAAATACAGCATCTCAAAACCATGTTGTCAAACTTATTACTGATTTGGCCTTCAGTTGTCAAACTTTAAACATGAGCTAGAGGTCCAAAACACGAAAAGAAAAGGAAAAAAGGCCCCAAAAGAACAGTCCGTTACCCTTGTTTCTTCACTGGATAAAACAAGCCGTAGAACCCGTGAGGACAATGAAGAACAGTCTTATTCGATTTAACTTTGTCCATGCTGCTGTTTTGCTTCACGTGATGCCTCAACTCACAAGTTCTTGTGCTGATTGATTTTACGTCTGATTTTTTTGGAACCTGGATGGTGATGTACAACAGCATCTGTGAAACAGAACGATAACAAATAAATAGACATTCACAAAAGACAGCAGGGATTTTAACAATATCCATAATATCTATATGAAACCTGATATTAATGGATGCTAACACTGAAAAAACATTTTACTGCCTTGGGAAGATTTTTGAAGCCAGTCAGTCGGGTTCTAAATCAGGGATAGTTTGGATTTTTGGAAGTGGGGTTGTTAGGGTTAATGCTGGACAATAGGGCAAAATATTTTATCATGATGCTGTTCTTTCATGATTATTGCAATATAATTCATGTAATTATTTCTTTACTTCAGTGCTCCATTTTTGCTTACAGTTCCCATAGCATTGCCCATGAACAGGAACAGGGAAGAGGTGGCAAATTGTGTACAATCAAGAAATATCAAGAATTTTTTTTGCATATTAAGACATTTTCGACAATCCTATGCGTCCATCTTTGTGGGAACAGTTTGGAGAAGGTCCTTTTCTCTTCCAGCATGACTGTGCCCCAGTGTACAAAGCAAGGTCCATAAAGACCTGGTTGGGTGAGTTTCACATCCACAATCAGTGCCTGACCTCACAAATGCTCTTCTGGATGAAATAACAAGAGTGGTGCAGTAGTTAGCATACTCACCTCTAGGACTTGGGTTCAAATCCCTACAAGGATTCCATTTATGTTGAGTTTGCATGTTCTCCCTATGTCATCATGAGGTTTTCTTCAGGTTTCCCCCCTCCCAGTCTAAAAACATACTGACTCTAATTGGAGTAACCAAATTGCCTTTCTTGAATGTAGGACAGGGAGGAAGTGAGACTGACTAGAAAAGGATTATAAACCAATTATGTACTTAGTAACCAATCGGCAATTTCTCTAGAAACTTGAAAAATGATTTACGGGGCTGGGAAAAAGTTTTATCTTTACCTCTAGGGTTTAAGGTCCTCCACACATCAAATAGCTCTAAATCCTTTAAAAAATTGTAAGAGTTTGGTGCTTTTCAGTCTGCCACTTTCAAGAGTCTATAGTCATGGCCAAAAGTATTGAGAATTACACAAGTATTGGATTTCACAAAATTTGCTTTTTCACTGTTTGTATATCTTTTTTGTTTTGGTTTACTGAAGTATAATTACAAGCATTTCAAGTGTCAAAGGTTTTTATTGACAATTAAGTTTATGCAAAGAGTCAATATTTGCAGTGGTGGCCCTTCTTTTTCAAGACTTTTTCAATTCACCCTGGCATGCTGTCAATCAACTTCTGGGCCAAATGACTGATGGCAGAATATTCTTGCATAACCAATGCTAGGAGTTTGTTTTGTTCCTCTGGCCACTTAGTTATCACTTTTGCTTTATGGCACGGTGCTCCATCATGCTGGAAAATGTATTGTTAGTCACCAAACTGCTCTTGGATGGTTGGGAGAAGTTGGTCTCAGAGAATGTTTTGATACCATTCTTTATTCATGGCTGTGTTCTTAGGCAAAATTGTGAGTGAGCCCATTCCCTTGGCTGAGAAACAACTCCACACATGAATGGTCTCAGGATGCTTTACTGTTGGCATTACACAGGACTGATGGTAGCGCTCACCTTTTCTACTCAGGACAATATTTTTTCTGGATGCCCCAAACAATTGGAAAGGGGATTCATCAAAGAAAATTACTTTACCCCAGTCCTCAGTGGTCCAATCCCTGTACCTTTTGCAGAATATCAGTCTGTTCCTGATGTTGTTCTTGGACAGAAGTGGCTTCTTCATAAAACCTGAGGCAGCAGACTTTGTGAAAATGAATATTTATGTCATTCTTAAAACTTTTGACCACGGCTGTAGAACACAATTAAAGTTGCCATCAAGAATTACATTATGAAAACGGTAAAACAGAGAGATCAGCTAGAAGCCTAAAGAAGAAGGATGAGTGAAACATCATGGGGGCAATTCACAACCTATAACAATATGCTACCCCTTTGCCTACCCCTCACCCCTTGCCCCTTGAAATGAAGTGGAAAGGGGTAGGGTTAAAAAATTTCCCCTAAGAAATGGGACACCACTACTACACTGTTATACGTCATCATCCATTGTCACTACCTCCTAACGTTACGTCAGAGGACAGGCGCCGATGTTTATCACAAATTCCAAGATGTCGCCGTCAGCATCGTAGCATGTAAAGATTACTCACTCCCAAAGTTTTTTTGCGCCGTATTTGGACTTTAAAAACAAATGTTCGTTTTCACCTCGAAAACGTATGAGCTAGGGGTGGAGTCGAACCCGAATACGGTATTCGGAAAGGCACAAATAATGTGTTTTTTACGAATACTTATTTCGAACAAATACTTTTAAAAATATTTGTATTCGGGAACAAGAAAAACTTTATATCAAAAAGCTGCGTTTCCTCTTCAGACCGCAGTGCATGCCCGGATGAGTGAGTGAGTGAGTGAGTTCAGGAGTCGGGGGGGGGGAGTAAAAGAGGTGA